TGCCAAGGTGGACGCAAGAGCGCGACGCGACGATCCGCGCCTTCCCGAGATAAGCCCCCGCCCCGGGGGTATCTGTAATCCATGCGGCGATAAGGTCGCGGAATATTTCTTTCCGTTCCGGAAAGAACGAGGGTGGCGGTTCTGGTTTCGGGGCACGGTAGTCCCTCTCCGGCGGCTCCGGGCGGCCGCCAGAGAGAGAGGGACGGCGCCGAAGAAAGAGCACGCGACCGGGCCCGCGGAATGATGAATCGTTTCTATTAAAATACTTTTTCGACGGGGAATACGGAATGGGCCGTCCGCCGAGGAGCGACCAGCGGATTTATTTACATATTTTCAATCTGGATTAAGAGGTATAGTCTTCGTCAAGAGTGTGCGTGCCGACTGTGGGGCTCCCTGCGGCCGTTCTCTCTCCGCAGCGGAACGGCCGTTCTCTCTTCGCAGAGGAACGGCTGCGAGGATCGACTCCTGGTTTACGAAAACGCCCTCCGAGCTCCCCAAGTTGGACGAGTCGTTTATCCGCGTGGAAACCGTTGCAAGAAAAACGTCGGATAATCGCGGAGGGGGGTCGTCGCGAAAGCCATCCGGGGTTCCCCAGGTTCCCCGGGATCCCCTCGAGGCGGCAAGACCGGGCTACTATAAATCTCGCGAGTTTTAATGTCCTGCAGCCTGCGAAGTGCGCCCTTCCCCTCTTTATGTCGCACCCCACCCCTCGGCCGGTATTTGCATACGCGCATAATGCCGCCGAGGGAGAGCTACCCTTTACTATTAATTTTATAAAGTTATTCAGCCTATTCGGCCGGCGAGCGGCTGCCGCCTTATTTAAATAACGGATTTTCGAAATCTCGTTTTACGTCCGATAAATCGGGGGATGCGCGTCCTGCACGTGCGACCAGGCACGATTCCTTATTCTGCCGAAATCCAGAATTCCAGTTTTACTGGGATGAATTGTGCCCATAATTATGAAAGTCTAAGTCAAAATTAGAAAAGAAAAAAAAAATGAGTTTATCAGTTATTTCACGCAATATTATTTCAAACGAAATTAATTCAATGTCATTTCGAAACAAAAGATATATGACTTAGACCACTTTCATAATTATGGGCACAATTGATCTCGAGAGGGGAACGATTTGCGGATAATTCCTCTATTATGGATATGATAAAGAGCGGTTAGCTCGAGGATAGGTTATCTCCAAGTCCCGACGCTTTGCTCCAAAAAATTGGGGGCAACCTCCACCGGCGTTGGATTCCCTATTTTGGCTACATTGGCCGTTTCGATCCCAGATCGTTATCGGGGACGTCGGTCGACGGGGTCTCGTCATTTTTCGGACCTTCGGAGCCGTTCTCGACTCCGGAAAAGCGATTTCGTGGCGACTCGCGTTTGGGGCGGGGAGCGCAAACCCGATATATCTCGACGTCCTATCTTCTCGGCGCGGTGCCCTCGAGCTCCGGGACGTCGATACGCATCTGGATCGGTCGGTGGATATGACGCATAAGTCGGTCCTAGAAACGTGACATTTTTCCCCGCGCCATTGCACCTCCATTAAGAGCCTTTTAGCGCGTTTCGAGAAACTGGCACCGAGTAGCCGGTGGTGCGCTTTACTTAGAGGGTCAGGCCGTTGGTACCGGCGCAACCCGCCCGCGAATCCAGGTCTAAATAGTTGGTCTCCCGCTAACAGTACTAATCAGTTTAGTAAGACGTTGCGTGCTCTATTTTTAACGCCTCCTCGTTGGTAACGCTTCACGAAGGAGTTTAGCGGAGGGCCTCCATAAGCGATCTCTGCTCTCCGGACTGCAACTTTGGACTCGTTTCCCCAACCGAGGTTCGCCAATTGATCCCACCCCTAAATTCAGTTACCGCGTCTTTCCCGCAATCCGGCCCTCGAGAACACACATGCCGTTGCGGTGTCGCCTGGCTTTTGCGGAACGGTCGCAGCTTTATTTCTCCGTATCCTCTCCCAGCAGGGGAACTCTCGCTCTGCGCGCGAAATCGCCCGAATATTATGACTCGAGGGACTTCTCAGAATGTTTTTCATTCTTTAATCTCGGCCTCTCGCGTATCAGGCGATATCGTACGAGCCCGCGTTGTTCCGTCGCTCGGCGCGACGGTTTCTTCACGGGGAAAGCGGAAAGCCGAGGGTTCTGGATGCGTAGAAAAGGCAGGGAAACCCCGAGGATCGGTTCTTCCGGTTCCCGGGATGGTCAGACAATTCGGAGAGGACTCGCTTCCCTTACACATCCAGGTTTCCTGGCGGGAGGTTGGCGCGAGGCCCGTTGCAGTCAAAGGCCCACCGTTACGCCGTTGCGTCCGCAGCGGAAGCACGGCGGAGGAGCCGCGCTCTTAAGCGACGTATTTTAAGCCCCACCGAATTTGAATAATCTTCGCGGCGATCCAGCAGGCACTCCAGAAGCCGCGAGGCCTGGTCCTACCTCCCGGGACCCTCTGGCAACATATCCAAGTGTTTGACGAACGTTACGCCTTCTCGGTTTTTTCTTTCCTCCTGGCGGTGGCGGCGACGGCGGCAGCTCGGCATTAGCGAAGCGTCCGTGTGCTGGGAATAGCGCGGCCGATCGCACCAGTGTGCGAGTCCCTCGTATCTCGATATATACCACCTAGGAGGCTCCGCCGCACACTCGAGCAAGTCGGATGTGACTTCGCCTCGGATACGCGTTAGTACCCCCCTCGGGAATCCTCTTTCGTTATTTGGACGTGGGAATGGCCGCGGCCGCGGCCACGCCGTGCTCCATATACCGCGTTTTTCGAGTGTCCCGTCATCGGACTCGTTGGAACGGTCCTTAAGGGGATATCAAAGTGGCATCCGAGGGGTCGATCGTTCATGAAACTTTTCCCTCAACTGGGTGCACCGAATCGTCTCAAAGTTTACAACGCGAATATGCTGCTTATAGAGAAGGTCCTGACACCAGTGAAATTTTATTTCCTATGTAGAATGTGAAAAATACCAATAAACAAATTAAAAAAAACATTGAAATTTCATGAGGATCAGGAACTTCTTTATAATCTCCACGATCATATTGTCAAGTTTAAATCCATTGCTACGCATGGCGTTTAAGCTCGTGAGACGCGAATATGGTGCTTATAAAGAAGGAACTGACACCAGTGAAATTTCATTTTCTATGCAGAATGTGAAAAATACCAATAAACAAATTAGAAAAAATATTGAAATTTCACGAGGGTCAGGAACTTCCTTATGATCTCCACGATCACATTGTACAGTTCAAAAAGATTGCTACGCATGGCGTTGAAGTTTGTGAGACGCGATTCGGGATCTTCCCGAGCTCCGGGTTTCTCAGCGCCGCGCGTGCGCGCCGCGAGCTTACGCACGAGCGAGCGCACGAGGGTGATAATGTATTCAAGGTCCGCCCCGTCGCCCCGTGGTGGGGTGAAACGGGGCGGCCCGGTCGGTATAGGTACTGTAACAGATGTTAATTATCCCTTCTGTATAGCCGGCAATAAGCGCGGCCACTGCGCCACGCGAGCCCCGCGCTCGCCGAACTCGAGCTCCTCTCGAGATGCGATTTTCCGCGTTAACGAGGTGTCCGAATAAAAATCCTTTCTACGGAACTTCTTTCCTGCGACGTTCCTATAAACCCGTCTACGAGACACTTGAAATATTTTCGAGGACGAAAACTTGGTAATGTGCTGGACTGATGGGTGTCCAAGAATCAAATTGTCGTCGTTATCGTGCCGCGAGGGTGATAATGTATTCAAGGTCCGCCCCGAAGTCCGTAGTGGGGTAAAACGGGACGGTCGGCGCATAGGCATTGTAACAGATGTTAATCAAACCCCCCCCTCGTATAGTCGACGAAAAAGTGCGTCACCGCGCCGCGGGAGAATCCCGACTCGAAACTACGCGAATGATATTCCGTGTTTCAATGTCGAGCTTATTTTTCTAAGGCTGTCCGTGGTTCATTAAAAATATTAATCGATCCGAACGTAAGTCTTACTGTTACGGAGAGGGATGGCCATCCAGTTTGAATAATTAATGCGATTGCCAAAATTCCACCGGATTCTCCATTTTCCTGTCGAACGGATACGGAATGTTCGGCCGCGGCGTCGCCGCTCGGCCGAGCTCGGCTCTGCTCGGCTCGGTCCGCGATCACGTGGTCGGCGCGCCCGTGGTGCGCAACGAGGCGTGCTCGAAAGCGGCTCTCGGCTAAGTCACATTCCAATATCTCAGAAACGAATTGTCAACCTGTCGTCGTTATCGCGCCACTTGTTACCGACCGAGCGGTTCCAGGGAGCGCGCGTGGGTGGCTTTTGTCTCGAAACCGTCAGTGGGTATCTCGATCTCGGAAAGGAGGATAAGAGGCACGGATCAAACGGTCGAAGGAGAGTTACTCGAACTACTGTCGAAAGGGGCCCTTTGAATGAGACTTAAAATCTAGAAACACGAATACTGTAGGATAATGTGGCTGGGTGAAATTGGAATCCAGTTTGAGGCACTAACCTAAATCGACAGGCTTATTGGAATGTTTCCGTGGTGTAGACGTTTGTGTCATGTTGAGTTTTGTTTGTTGAAACATTCCAATGAGCCTGTTAATTTTGTGCCTCAGACTGGCACGGCTGAAAAAATGTTCATCCGCGAACACTCGAGGGGAACCGTTTTCCTTTGTTTCGTAGTTGGGAGTATCGCTTAAGGTGATGTTAATGTGGCGTCAAAGAGGTTTCCTATATAAAACTCTTCTCCCTACTCAATTTATAGTTTGGAACTTTACAACGTGAATAGGGAGACTATAAGGAAGGTCCTGAGACTTATGAAATTACAATTCTTTTCAAATTTGTTCATAGGTATTTTAAAAGTAGTTAATAAAAAAATTAAATTTCGCGAGTTTCAGGACCTACCTTAGGGTTTCCATGTTCACGGTTTAAAGTATGAAACGATTTGAGATACCCAGTTCGTAGGAAAAAGTCTTATGGACGATTGAGCTTTCGGATGCCACTTTCACATCCCCTTAACAGGAATTTCGTTGGTTGATTTCAGAATGCGTTGACGAAGCGAGAGACTGGCAGGTCCCGAGATGTCCGCCGTCACCAGTCCATATGGCCCCAGTAAGTATTGCCGTATTTCCGAAAGGTCGTGGACTAAAGAAAAGGACGGGTTTAAACCCCCGCGATGGTGTTTACACGGGACGGCCGAGAAAATATCGAAGCGAACGCAAATGGCCGACCGACGCCGACGCTCGGCCGATTTTTGAGGTTTTGGCCAGTTTTTTTCGTCATTTCCGGCACTGTGCGCCGTACCGAGAGTCGATGCTAACCGTTGACTCGATTCCCCAGTGGAGATGCTCTCTGACTCGGTTTACAACTACGCGACGTCCCACCGGGGTGCAGCAGACCAGGACAGCGATTCCCAATTCGAGTCCCAGTCGCAGCTGCAGATCTCGGCGATGCAGAAGCCGCGAAACAAGAGGAAGAACTTCAAGCCGATAAGCAGCAGGATGGCGGAGGTGTCGGACTCGTCCGACAGGGACGAGGACGACGACATCGTCGAGGTGAGCTCGAACGAGATCCTCGAGTACCAGAGGAAGAAGATGATGCCCACGGAGGAGAGGTCCAAGCAGAGGCTCAACAACAACGAGAGCAGCCCGATGGACCTCTCGGTGGCGACAAGGCCGCCATCGTCGGAGGCCGACGAGGACAGCGGGGACTCCCTGAGACACAAGTTCATCCTGGAGCAACTGCGCCCGCAGAAGCTCTACTCTCCCAGTCCCGAGGTGGGTTCCGAGCGCCTGGTCGCGTCCCGGAGACGGACATAGTGTCTAGAATCGGTGTTTCGCTGCTCAGGTCAGGAGTCCGACGTCGGAGTCCTCGGAGAAAAGCGGGAGCGGGGCCATGGACGCGGACGTGGACGCCGAGGCCGGTCGGCTGGACGAGCAGGATGCGGTCCGGTTCGAGCACGAGCGGGCCCAGGAGGGCGAGGGCGAGCTCGTCGTCGCGGGCAAGGCGATCGTGCCCACGGAAGGGATGAGGGAGTACGCCGAGTCCGCCATGCAGGAGCTGCTTGCGATCTACGGCCTCGCCGGCGGAGAGCTGGCCAAGTCGGTCAGTCGGCAGCTGCCACCCACCTTCCTCGACCCACCCGTCGGTCACCAGCCCCAGGGTAAGTGTTCCGCACTACGTATATCGCGCGGAGCCCAAGCTAAATTGTTCACTTGGGTGATTCTAATAATAGGGTGGGAAGAAGTCGTGTCAATGTATCGAGATCCAAGACAGTACCGACTTTATCATCTTAGTCTAGTCCTTCTGGGAGCGGTGGTTTGTCCCAAATTCTTGGTGAGGGTAACGTGGCTTAGATGACCATTGAAAAAACAACTTGGGGCAGTGCCCTGTGAAGTGGGAAAGTTCCAATTTGTTGTGGATGGGAAGAGCTCGCAGCTCAATATTCCGGGAGGGAACAGTAAGTGCGTTTACTATTACTCCGCGCGGAAATTCGGGCACCGGGCCGCGCTAGGGCGAGGACTCCGGAATCCCGGGAAGCGCCGCTCTGGCTCGGTCAAGCGGGACTCGTATCGGCGGGATTGCGCCGGTTTTTAGAATCGACTGTACGAGCGCCGGAACAGAATGTGGTACTTACATGCTGCCCGGTGCCTCGCATATGCGCTCACGTGAATACGCGATGGCTCGCAAGATGGCCGACTTATAACTCATAAAGTCGGCCGGTCGGAGTGCGCGAAGCACCGACTGGCGGCTCGCGATCGATGGATGGCCGCGGAGATGCTCGCGCGGCCGTCACCATTCCGCGTCGCGGCTGCTCGCTACCGGCGTGGGCCGCGACAGTCCCACGAATTCCAGCGGTGCGGAATTCCTGATATACCCCGAGCGCGAACCGCTCGCACTCGCCATCTGCTCGCCGGTCCGCGACAGACGACATTCCATTATCCGCTCCCAGCTGGACCGGGTCGCTCCCATAACGATCCGCATTTTTCCGAACTTTCCTCCGTTTCGGCTCTAGTCGATCTTCTCGAGATCGCGGTTCTGGATAGCCAAATGACTATTCGAACGACGTCACATGAGACGGATCGCGTAATACTCCCCGGAGTGGATCCTCTCTCCAGGGCGCCCACGGCGACCGCTAGGCTTCAATTTCCGCCGAAGCCGTCCGCAGGCTGCAGGCCGACATCGCCGCTCGCGGATCGTCCCTACTTTTTTCTCCGATTCGTGAAAATTAGTGGCGTTAAATTGGAATTGACGCGGTTCATAGGACCGGGCCGAGCGAAGCCCGGCGACGCGTGAAAGGGAAGACGACGAGCCGCGCCGAGGCGGGGAGTCCCCCGGGTTTCCTTAGCCTCCCGGCTCCGGTCTCGGGTTTGAAATACGCAACAAGTGGTTCTCGGCTCCTCGGAAACGCCTCGGAAAATGGAGCGCGCTCGGGAAGGCTCAACAAGTGGCGCCCCGGGAAAAGGGTCTCTATCGAGTTTCCCGGCCGGGGGAGGGTGGAGGCGCGTCGCGGGCACCGCGGACCACCAAGAGACGATCTCCGAGCATCCGCGTTCCGAAACTGGAATATTCATTATTGGCCTCGGTGCGCGCCCCTCGCATGAATACGGTCCTAAACGGTGAAGAAATTACATGCAACGTCGGTAAAGTAGTATGTTCCCCGACGTGTAACAATGCAACGAATGCAAATCGACTGCAACGTATGTACAGTTCAGTGGCCGATTATACTAACAATAAGGCTGGCCACTTTTATTTCGCCGACGGCCTGGCAAAACAATCGGCTTACGTCGTTTCACCAGCGGAACCGGCAAAACGCCGCGACGGCGAAATCCGCCCGAGGATGATGCCCCGATTATTCCCGCGAGCTTTCCCGAGGTTTGCCCCGGGGCCGAACCGCGCGGTCCGAGGCCCCGGCTTCCAGGAGGTGTCGGTCCCTGCCCTCGGGCCCATCGGGCGCTATCTCTCCTCCCGGGAGGAAACCAGAAAACCTCCGCGGACCCATTAATCATTCCGCGCGGATAAAGCCAGGAGGATGAAAGGAGACGGACAGTCGGACGGACGGACGGCCGGTTGGGGAGGGCGAGGGAGGAGGGGGAGGAGGGCCACGGAGCTGGCCGCGCTGAGGGGATCATTTTTTATTTCTCGAATTTCGTCGGACGCGTCCATTGTCGGGTCCGGAGTCCCCGGGTCCATCTCCACCTCCGCCATCGGCGTCGCCTCCGGCCGCAGCCCGGACCGAGCCCGACCGAGGTCGGTGAGATTCATTATCTGATAGCGCCGGACCATTTCTTTCCCTCCCTCCGGACTGCTCCCACGAAATGATATTCCATCGCGGACTCGAGCCACCCGTCGAGCGCCCGAAATTCGAAATCGGCCCACCGGGATTAATCCCGGTCCTCGGGAGGAGTCGGGACTCTCTCGTTCCCCTTCCCTGTCCGAGGTGGAGGCTTTTCGGAAGGACGGTTCCAGGCCCCCGAGACTCCAGATTTCGGGGATTAATCCCTGTACTCCTGTACGGAAGGCGCGTCAACTCGAGCGGACGGGAAAAGAAAAGCTAATCCGGAGCTGCGGGAGCGAGATAGTCGAACGAGTCCTCCGTAAATGCAAATGGAATGGTCGCGGGGCAGGGTCGTTACCGACTAGATCCGCCGAACGGGTTTATAGGAGTCTGGGCGGGGCGCTTTTTGTCGTAAAGCTACTTTCCTGTCGTTTCGGCACAATGGTTTAGTAATGACCGAGGAGTGCAACGAGTTTGCAGCTACTCGGCTCGATTCCAAGAGCCACGGGGAATTTCCTCTGGAGTTTATCGCGTCCTCCCAGGACCCGGTCGATGAGGCACCCCCGTTCGTTATCTCCGATTCGAAGGGGGATACTCGCGATCCCGGGCGTAAACTAACAGTTAAAGAAATGCCGCTCATCCGCGAGAAGCGGTTCCGATCTACCGTCTTGAGATCTCGTTCCGCCGGATTTGATAAATCGTCGAGGAGACTCGCGAAAATCAGACTTCGGGGTCCTGGCGCGGTCTTCGGGCGTCTCGTAGAGGGACCCTCCGCGGATTCCCTGGACCCCGAGGCCTTCGACTCGGCCGAGGAACGAGATCGTGAAACGTTTTACGAGCCTCGGCTGAACGGAGCCCAACGGGGGCCTGGCCTGCTTCTGCTCCGCACGTGGGCCTCTCGCCGGAAAGATCGTCTTCGCTCGCAGAGGAGCCAGAGGAGCCCGCGATCTCCCGCTCGCACCCTCCTGGCCAACCTCTCCTAGGCCGATGTCCGTTTCCGGGTCAATTGGGTCTTCCAATCTTTTTGTCCGTCAATTGAGCCGTGAGTCACCGTCGGCCGGCGCGCTTGCATCCGAAGGGGATCCGTCGCCCTCGCTCTCTCCTCCTCCTCTCGCCGCGCGCGGATAAGGACTAATGTTTAGGCATTTAACGGTCATTCCGTTGGCTCTGGCATAAACCAAACGGCAGCGTAGTTAGAGCGTACCGCTGCCGGCTCGTTTCCGTCGACGACCGCGTGCGATCGCAAGCGATCCTCGCGGGAAACGTTCCCCCGCGTCCCGTTTAAGGTGGAGTGAAACCCTCCTCAAATCAGTCGATTCAAATAACAAATTTTTTTTTAAGGGGATTGCATCGAACCTTGACCAAACCTTTGATACATTACTCGCGAGCACCTAGGAATTAACCTGACACTTTAAACATCTGGATATTAATTATAAAGAAATTGTCCAACTCAGTCATCATTACTGAAGGCTCTTTTTACCGACGTCGGTCAAGTACCTCGACGTATTTCACTTCGCCTTAACCGGAAACGCGTAACCGGTGCCCGGTTAGCTCTCCCCCGATTTCCTTCAAGGAGATGGGAATTAACGACGATTTCGGAAATCTCCCACGGCTCTAGACCTTCGGCCCCCTTCCAGCGGAATCTTCTCTCCTCTTCCCGAGGTCGGACCTCTTTAGGGTCTGGGCCCCTTCCCTCTTTTCCCCTGGCATCTTGTTTATTTTGCCCGTCAGCTCTCCGACACTCGGACATTCGTTTAAATTTAGAATTCAATGGGCTCCTTTTACCGGCAGTCTCTCGAATCCTAATGGATTCCCTAGCTCGCCGCTGATTATTTGTTTAATTTCCGAGGACCGATTGTCCTCGGTCTCGAATCCGAAAATCCCCGGCCTACGACGAGGACGCCGTCGGAGAGGGAATCCTCGGTGACGTCGCGTCGACCGCGACTCTTCCGGAGCCGGCCATCTTCTCGGAATTCTCAGAAGAACGGGGAAGAAAAAACGGAAAAGAGAGGTACATGCCGGGGAGTTTGAGACTACCGGTTTTTGAGGCAATTCGCGTCGTTGTGTCATCGAGTGACGACTCTGGGGACCGATGATTCGAAAGTCGGGACGGACGCGAGTCATCGCTCGAGTGCAAGTCTTCCCATTGAGAGCTCTCGAGGAGAGGGACGAAAGAAAGAAGAAAGGTACCACCGGACAGGTAGACATTCCGTTCGCTTCCTTCCCTCGGGTTTCCGTCAAATCCGGAGTTAAGGTGAAGTGAAACCCCCCTCAAGTCCGTCGACTCGAATAAGACACTTCTTTTTTTAAGGATGTCGGATAGAACCGTCCGAAAACTGACACGCGACTCGTCAGCACCTAGGAAACTGGATTCTTGTATGAAAATCGTTTAACTTGGCCCAGACCAAGATCAAAGTGGCAACGAGCTCTCATATTTCAATCGATATCCAATTATTTAAGGCTCTAATATGACAAACCAAAGGGTCAGGAGCTATGTACGACAATTTAGAACACTCTGGTAAACGAGAAACTGACATTTGAGAGGCAAAAAAAGTGTCTTATACGCTAATATGCTAAAACGATGGGAATACGAGGTCTCGGAGGGAACATTTAGTTGACATTAAAATCACAGATGGCGCAAGGTGGCACTCTGCAGTCAATTGGGGCATCAAAAACCATGAATCCAGGGGATTTCTGGAGCTTCAATTAGATTTCTTTGTAATTGTACATGATGCGACATACGACACGACGTGTGCGACATATGGAGTATGTCATTTAGGTACAATACCCAATATAATTGGAAAAATCTGTCGATATAAACACGAACGTCGGTAACGTATGTATTTAGAAGAATCCTTTTCATCGAGGTCGATGAAATTTCTCGA